CTTTCGCAGCTTGCTAGGAACCACACCCTCCTCCTCAAAACATTCTCCTCTCTCAGCGTCTGTGACACCACAGTCTACTTTGCCAGTCTCTTTTCCCCTGTCTACTTTCTCAGGATTTAGATTGGGACCCCCTTGTCTTGTCTCTTGACCCTTTCTTCGTAGATAAGCTCATCCAGTCCCACGGTTTTAAATAGAATCTCTATGCTCGTGAGGTGCTTGGCCGGGAATCAAACCCGGATCTCCCACATGGAAGGTGAGAATTTTACCACAGAACCTCCACTGCACTCAGAGCATATGAATTTGTACAAGTGTAACGCATGCAGTGTGTACAGAGCCTGGTAATGCCAAGATCACCGACTGGATGATCAGCGGTGGCTTAGTGAAGGAGCAGGTGTTTGTGCTGGAAGTAAATCTGAAGTCACCAGAGGAGGTGAGGAGAGAGGTACTGCTTGAGTAGAAGGAGGAGGCAGGACTGGTAGGCAGGGCTTCTTGGGGGAAACAGCAGTCTGGGCACAGCTTTGACTCACACATCCAGCCTCAACTCAAGCCATTCGTAGCCAACAAGGCAGACTGAGGTTCCCCACACTCCTGTACCCCATCTTCTTCCTGCCCCCTCACCCCGGCGACTTTGCCCACCACTGTCAAGTTCCACGAGTGACTAAATATGATGAAAACCTGTACTCTGTAACCATCTCAGTAGGTATAAATTTTCCTGCTCATCTAAAAGGCTTCGTAACCCTCCGTCATAAAACAAGAAGCAAACTGGTGGCGCTGAGGGGAGGGGAGGTATGACCATTTCTGGCTGAGTCTCTGCACAGCCTTGCTGGCATTGCTGGTCACCACTGAATGCCCAGACTCCATGCCTCACAAAACTAATAACTGTGGTGAGTAATTTAGAAAGCTGTAAAAAACAAAAAAAAAACTAGAGTTGCAGAAGAACCTTTGTTCATGCCACCGCCATTTCCGTGTGTCCATCTGTCCATCTGTATAGATCTGTCTGCCACTCAGGGGAGAAGGGTAGCAGAACTCTGTTTAACCCCTATTGTTAGAGGCTGTCTTGGGAGGTAGGAAGTCCCCTGAACCTGAGGTGTTCCTTTATTGTTGTTTTTAGATAAGCTTCCCCAATTTTATAATTAACCATACTTCTGTTGTTGTTTTCGTCCAAGTTAAACACTCCCTCCCTCCACCTCGACCATGACATGGGGGTTTCCCTTGCAGCAAAGCGAATGGTCTGCCAGGTGCAATCATTAGAAGCACTGCAAAGTGTGAAGATAAATGTTTCCACTTAGGGGGAGAACGCATCTCCATTACAAGCCGATTACGACAGTCTCGGAATTAAAGCCTCTACAATGGGTGGTTTTTATCTGGCCTCTGAGAAAATGTGGTGATGAGATGCATCGAGAGTCTCTGACTGTTGGGGGCTGCCCTGGCACAGTCCAGGTATCCCGATTTCATAAAGAGACTTCCAGCTCCCTGGCACAGAAGGGACACCACGGGAACTCAGCAGCTTTGGCACCAATAATACTATGTTGTTAATTGCTGTTGAATCAGCTTTGTCTCGTGGCAACCCCATGTACAACAGAACGAAATGGTGCCTTGTCCTGCATCATCCTCACATCGTTGTTTTACTGGAGTCCATTGCTGGAGGCGGCCCCTGTGTATTTTGAGTGCCTTCCAACCTGGGGGGCTCATCTTCTGGCACTATATTGGACGATATTCTTTGTGATCCATCGGGTTTTCAATGGCTAATTTTCTGAAGTAGATCACAAGGCCTTTTCTCCTAGTCCATCTTAGTCTGCAAGCTCTGCTAAAACCTGTCCACCATGGCTGACCCTGCCGGCATTTGAAATACTGGTGGCAGAGTTTCCAGCATCATAGCAACGTGTTACCCACCACAGTACAACAAACTGACAAATGGATGGTGGAATAATACTAATGAGTGTTACTTATTAAGTGCCTGGTGTTGATGTTAAGCAATTTACATACATCTTCTAACCCTAACAACAATCCTAAACCAAAAAAAACCAAACCCGTTGCCGTTGAGTTGATTCCAAGTCACAGCGACCCTATAGGGCAGAGTAGAACTGCCCCATAGGGTTTCCAAGGAGCAGCTGGTGGATTCGAACTGAAGATCTTTTGGTTAGCCACTGTCTTAGGCTGGGTTCTCTAGAGAAGCAAAACGAGTAAAGTGTACAAATATATATATAGAGAGAGAGATTATATCAAGGAAACAGCTCACGTGATTGTACAGGCTAGAACGTCCCAAGTCCGTGGATCAGGGTAGAGGCGTCTCCCAAGTCACACAGCTGCAGAAGCTGGCAAGCCCAAGATCGGAAGGCTCCCACTCATAGGCCGTTCAGCTCAATGAATCCCAGGTTCAGCAGATAAGCTGACAGCTCAAGTCCCAAGAACGGGAGATGAGACGACAGGAAGCAGCCGCAAGATCCAGAGAGAGCAAAAAGCCAGAACGTCTGCTTATATACAGATACGGACCACACCCCGAAGGAGACTCCCTTTCATCTGATTGGCTACTCACAGTATATTCAATCATGGGAGTGATTACATTAAAACACGGAGAATCACGGCCCAGCCAAGTTGACACACAGTCTTAACCATCACAGCCACCAAACACTTAACCACTGTGCCACCAGGGCCCGAAACAAGCCTAGGAGTTAGGAATTGTTTCCCGCATTATGCAAATGAGGAAGCTAAGACCCAGCAGGCTCTCTTTGCCTCCTTAGAGGATTGCCCTGCACACTACTGTCGTTCTTTAGCACATCATGGGGCCATTGGCCTCAGGGTTAATGCATCGATTTGAACAATCTTTTATGCTTCAGGCCAAGTGAGAGAAAATGCTGCTGACATCAGATTTGCATACGTTTACTGAGCCCCTTCCAACCTCTCCTGATGCTTTCTGAGCCTTGAAACAGTCCTCCTGGCCACTTCCAGTCCTGCAGTGGCCCTGGGAGGCCTGACAAGAGAGTCCTACCTCCGTGTGTGCCCTTGACCACAGGCAGGGTCTCCTCTTCCAGAAATGGTCCCAGCCTCCAGTGAGGGGGTAGCATTGGGGGATGGGGAGGGGTGGCATACTCGTAGAGAATATACCCCCTTGGGCAGCCAGAGGAGCCAGGACAGCCTGGAAACCAGTGGGGTGGTGGATGTCACAGTCAAGCACAGAATTCGGATTCTCACAGCAGAGAATCCGCTTTCTACAATTTTGCCTTCACTTTGGGGCAGGGGATGGTTTCTGCCAAGGAAGACAGTTCGTGGAGCCCATTTGTCCTCCCACCGTAGGGGAGGCAGTGGTTTCCTGCAGCTGCTTGTCTCTGGGGGCCTCATTGTCCTTGTTGGTGTCGCTGTTTCCCACCACAGGCACAAGCAGTTACCTGGTTCCCTCTGAGTCCTCGGGCCCAGTCTGGTTGTCCCTGATGGATCCACTTACAGTCTGTTAGGCCCTGGACTAAGGCCTTCCCAGCACTCCTCCAAACAGCCCTCCAGACCCTGCTTTACCAGTGAGGGCACTGACGCTCAGAAAAGAAGCGACTTGCTCAGGTCACTCGGCTGGTGGATAGTTCAGCCAGAAGGCCGTCCTAGGTCCGTCTGGGCACGCCCGAGCGCTTACCCACTCCTCCCGTTGCTTCTGGAGAACTTGAACTCAGAGCATCTGCTTCCTCGTCCTCGTCTCTAGAAGAACCAGCAGTATGTCCGTTGCAGGGCTGTTGGGAGGATTAGGGATAGCATCTGTAAGGGCCCTGTTACCTCCCCCATCTTGGGGCGCCTCCATCAGCTTCGGCCCTCTGGGCGGGAGGCCCATCTTGTTTCCCGGCCTCAGTGGGCACAGGTTGCTGCCAGCAAGTGCTGCCAGCTTGTCTGTGGCCTCCTGGCGGCCAGTCTGGGATCGGCGGATCTCCACAAGGTCTCAGTCTTGTGCGTGGGTGAGCCGGTTCAGGGCGGTGCCATGGTCCACAGTGGCTGGGATGTTTAGCTCCCCCAAGGCAGGGGCTCAAAAGTTAACTCTTTTTTTCTTTTTTTGGTGAAAGTTCTTGGTGGTTTCCACAGGCGTGAGTTTGAAGCCGGCCTTGGAGGCGTCTGTGGTTTGATTGTTTCTTGAAGAATGTTTAAGTGCCAGAGCCGTTTATTTCTAAGTCCTTCTTCAGGAAAGAGGGCTCTTTGTGATGTGAAATGAACATACCTAACTCCACTGAAGCTCTTTCTGGTCATAGAGATGGAACCGTTCTTCCTCGCAACCCAGAGTGGGGTCTCAAGATAGGAAACTAAAAACAGTTTTTCTTCCCCTAAAATCATAGGATAGTAGTGTCAGAAAAACCCTAGAACGTCATCCAGGGTAAAGTAAGCTTCCAGTTTACAGAGGAGAAAAGCGAGGCTCAGAGAGCTCAGTGACTTGCATAAGGTCACACAGTGGGTTGGTGGCCGAATCAAGCCTAGCACCCAAGACTCCTAACCCTCCACCCATCGGCCACCCTCACTGCATCAGGCCAGAAGAGTCAAACCCCAGCAGGCTATTTGGGGACCAGGTTTGGGGCAATTCCCAATGATTTGAACAGTCCCAAATTACTACTGTAGTCATAGGCATAGACTTGGGATAGCTGTTCCTTTTGGTAAAGATTTTGTCCATAAATATGTTCATTTTATTTATTAGGTTGTCTGGCACATGATAGCATGCATTATTAATAGAGTAGCTTAATACTGTCTATTAAAGAGGCATACTCTTTGCATGGTAAAACAAACCTCCCTTTTATGATGTACTTTACAGCACCAAGTGAGAGCCGTGCGTGCTGGGAATGGTGTAACAGGCTTCCGTTGGACCTCATAGGAGAATACAAAAGAAGGGACTGTCTCTAGTATGACTCAGTAGTCTGGTGATGCATGGATACGCACCTCTTTAAGCAGTGGTGGCTGCTAGGCCCGTCCGTACCCTGAGGGCTTCAGGCAGAGTAAGCATGTGGTTCTGAAACTCTTATTCTTCCCCACTGCCCAAGTTTGTCCACTGCCCCCGGTGGTGAGTCACGGAGATTTCATCTGCCATCCTCGGCCTTGCGAGCAGTACAACCACGGGACCGTGGTGGAGTTCTACTGCGACCCTGGCTACAGCCTCACCAGCGACTACAAGTACATCACCTGCCAGTACGGAGAATGGTTTCCTTCCTACCAGGTGTACTGCATCAGGTCAGGTGAGCAGATCCAGAGGCTTCACCACCTCGTATGGGACGTCCAAATTCAGACTAGTGGTCGAGCCTGTGTGCTGCGCTCCAGCCCTCCTTCCCCCCACGCAGTGTTAGGAGCAGGATCTCAAGAACGATCCTTATGGACATAACGTGGCTGCCACGTGGGCCAGGTGATGCTAGGCCCTGTTTAGCAGGTTGGAGTATTCACCTGTCCATTCCCAGGTAGAATCCTGACCCTCTGATCAGAATACCTAGACTCCTAGCAACTGTGGACTACCTTCCAGCCTCTGTCCACGCTGTTTCCTCCCAACCTGTCTCCCCTCCACTTGCAAAAGGCATGCCTTTCTCATGCAGGACGCGGGCCCATGGATGTGATCGGAATCACACACATTGCCCAGGACTCATGCTGTGTCCAGCCCACCTTTCTCTTCTGCTCAACGAGGCATGTCAGAATACAAATGATATTACTATGGGTGAATCCTGCTCTCACTTTTAAAAACGTAGGCATTTGCAAGCTTCAGTGATTTATAGCTAATAACAAATTACTTGCACACCAGCCTCACAGCTGGACTCGCTGCACTGGTCACCAGCCCACCCTCACCATCTGCCACCCTCCCCGGTGCCGCCCTTGCTCTCCAGCACCTTCTAGGCAGTCGCCATGGCCACCTGCCCTGAGCCGTGGGGATGGCTGCACACCTCCCCCTGGACACAGCTTGTGGGGAAAAGCATTTATCAGCTCAGGGAGGCTTGAGGCGTAACATGGTCATAGTAACAAATGAGGGGAGAGAGTTGGGGGGTGTCTCACTGAGGGTGAGGCTGTGAGCAAGATGTGGGGGGAGGAAGGAGGCAGCCACAATGGAGGGAGAAGTTAAAGAGACGGGGTGGCTTGTGCCAGAAGGGTCTGCTCTGGCTTCCCCCTCCCTGGCAGAGGTGGGGGGCAGGGGAGAGGATCCCCGTTCTGCCCCCTTCCTCCCCATCATGCTTCACCCCAACCAACAACATAACCCAGAACGCTCACAAAGGTCTGTAGCCCAGCTTCCCTCTCCCCAGCCATTGGTCCATTTCAGAATAACCTTTCTGCTGGACAGAGGGACCCCTTCATCCTCTGCCCCTCCAGGCTCGTACCAGGTCTGCAGTGGGAACACGCAGGCAGAGCCCACCCTCGGGACGGGTTTTAGTGCAGCGTGGACCCGAATGGGATGGCACGTACGCCAGCTCAGGCGCGTGGTGCCTCTGCCAGTCTTGGGAGCCAGGCGGTGTGCTGTGGGCGGCTCAGCTCACCAGATAAACCCAGCAAACCAGCACAGGCGCCCAGCACGGTCCACGAGCCTCACACGCAGCTTTGTTCTCTGTCACACAGAGCAAACGTGGCCCAGCACCCACGAGACCCTCCTGACCACGTGGAAGATCGTGGCGTTCACAGCGACCAGTGTGCTGCTGGTACTCCTGCTCGTCATCCTGGCCAGGATGTTCCAGACCAAGTTCAAGGCCCACTTTCCCCCCAGGTCAGTGCTGGGGCCTTGGCGCCCCACGTCTGCACCCATCAGTCTCCTTGCAGCCACCTTGAACAGCAAAGAGAGAGGGTGCAGATTTGATTAAAGGGGGAATGGGCCCCTGGGTGGCACAAACAGCTAAGCACTTGGCTGCTAACCAAAAGGTTGGAGGTTCGAGTCCACCCAGAGGCCCCTCAGAAGAAAGGCCTGGCAATCTGCTTCCAAAAAATCAGCCACTGAAAACCTGGTGGAGCACAGTTCTATTCTGACACAGATGGGGTTGCCATGAGTGGAAATTGACTCATCTGGTGGTTTTAAGGGGGACTAGGAGAGAGAACTAAAACCACTTTTCTGGGATGGTGAGGTGTCTGGGGGCCAAGCACCAAGTGAGAGACAGCCCTCACTTCCCGCGTTTCTCCCTCTCTCCTTCCCTCCATCGCCCATGCTCGGGACAGGCATTGTGGGGTATAGTGGGGAGCACAGAGTCAGGGCTGCAGGCTGGGCACCACACTGCCCTGGGGCACCATTCCCATCATCTCTGCTTGCCTGTGCCCTGCAGTAAGTTCCAGCCAGCTGACAGCCCCCAGGGAGAATAAGGCAGTTATAGAACCTCTCAGAATACAAGGCAGGGACGTGCAGTGTGGCAGAGGTTCAGAAACAGTGTGCTGTGGGAGTCTTCAGGGAGGAGGGAGGGCTTTGGGACGGGGCTCTCGGGAAAAGGCGCCTGTGTGCGCACCTTGAATTAGGATCTGAACGTGGGACATGCAGGGGTTACTCTCCAGCCTCCTGGCCACACAGACTGTCTTTGGTTGGTGTCTTCTCAGTCACCAGCACAGAGGAGGACCTGGCTAAACTCTCACACAGGCAGGTTTGGCCCCATCACGGAGCAGCCTGGGCCATCTCCCCCAGCGCTGACAGCAGCCGTGGACCCTGCCAACAGAAAGTCATCACCCAACACTGCTGCAGGCAGACACTGTTCCTGGAGGTAGAAACAGGTCAGAAAGCAAAGGAGAGCTTTGTGAATGTGCGGTTGAAGGACCCAAACATCACAGGATACCAGCCACGTGTCTCTGACACAAATTGCCTTTTACGAAGGAATAATAATTGTTGCCTTGGATTCCTCACTGTGGAAGATATTTCCCATCTCGGGACCTAATGCTTCAGAAAAGGCTGTTTGTTTTTGCCCACAAGGACTGTGTAGCCCCCAGAGCCCAGTGCAGCAGCTCCTAAAAATTGCTTAGTGGAGGAGAACGCCCCCCAGAATTAACCACTTTACTCTCTTCCTTCCAGGAAAATCCAGCTCTGTCTCACGCAGCTCCCAGGGGGTTAGGAGTGAGGGAAACGGGGCTGAGGTGCTGGAGACAGCCTGTGTCCAGGGCCAATTACCCAAAAGGCAAGGTACGCACCCGCATGGGCCCAATCGTGCCTTCCCAGCAGTCTGCAGTGGGCAATTTCACCTGTCCCCACCACATCGATATTGCTCACCACAGATTAGCAAGTAAATACAACTAAGCCCGTGCGTACCTTGTTCAATGCAAGCAGTGCGTACCCCTGCCTCCGCCCACCCTCCCCCCTAGCCTCCTGGTCCCCACGAGGGCCTCGCCTCGCTTAGCAGTGTTCCCTGCCTGGCAGCAGAGGCCCCGCATCCTCCTCACAACCCAAAGACACCTGACTCTCCCAGCCATGAGTGCTAGGAGTGGGGCCCCCTGAGCTCCTGACCAGGCCAGAGCTGTGTCAGTGCCGTCCTGGGGCCTCAGCTGGGCCCTTGCTGAGGTGCCAGAACCTCCCTTCCTCTCAGACCTGTCACCCGCTTTCTCAGTCCGCAGCACTGTTATTTATTAATCAGGAAACCGTATTCTGTCACTCAGCAGCTGCAGTATCTAAAGACGGTGGACGGATTGCAAAGAGAAAGCTAACCGACACTTTTGTGAAGTATAGTACATTGGAGTACTTTCAAGGAATCCTGGTGGCGCATTGGTTAAGCGCTTGGCTACTGACTGAAAGGTGGGCAGTTTGAACCCACCAGGCACTCTGTGAGAGAAAGATGTGGCAGTCCGCTTCCAGAAAGATTTACAGCCTTGGGAACCCTGTGGGGAAGTTCTACTCCTGTAGGGTCGCTGTGAGTCGGGATCAGCTCAACAGCAGTGGGTTTGGTGTTTGGTTTTGAAGTGCTTTCAGGGGTCCATATGGCTATGTTTCTACATATACTTGGAAGAAAAGTTTCCAGAATGTCAACTAAATAGTAAGATGTTTTTTAAAAATATTCTCAGCACTCTTTCACTTGATTTTTACCCCCGGAGTATCTCGGTCTCTACTTGTTTTAGAGAAGTTGGTCTCATGTATCCAAATAGAGGTCCCTAGATGGCACAGGTGGCTTGTGCTTGACTGCTAACCTAAACATGGGCAGTTTGAACCCACCCAGCTGTACAGTGGAAGAAAGGCCTGGCGATCTGCTTCCATGAAGATTACAGCCAAGAAAACCCCACGGAGCAGTTCTACTCTGTACCACATGGGGTCGCCTTGAGTCGGGATCGACTTGACAGCAGCAGACAACAACAGCCACATCCAGACAGATAATAAGAGCCTCAAGGACAAGCCAAGAACGGGTTTTTATCTCCAGCTCCCACAAGAGTAGACACTGGAGCTTGGTGAGTGGGTGTGTGGGAGCTGACGTGGTGGTTGGGACGTACTGGAGGAGAAGCTGCCGGATCGTGGGAGAGCCACGGCCTGGGCTTGTTAGGATGAGGAGTGGGGAAGAGGGCGGGCCGGCTGCCCTGGCCTGGACACCTGGAGCAACGGTGAGGAGCTGGGATGTCCTAAGTGAGGTGAGGAGGCTGACCTGAGATGAGGGGGCGGGCGGGGAAGGAAGCTTAGCTTCTCGGGGATCCTTTCAGAATTGACTGTTGGTGGGGGACTAAGGAAGGGAGAGGAGCCTGTTTCAGAAGGAGCTCAGCTGCAGAGATTCCCAGCGGCTTCTTCCCTCACTGCCTCCTGCCTTGTGCGGTGCATGGGCCTTGGGGGTCTCCCCTCCCTCTCTGGATAACCTCTAAGAATGGCGGAACAAGAAGCCCCCTCTGTAATCTCTAAGCCTCTGCAAGATGTTTCCAAAAGTCAGCAGACTTGAGACTGCCCCTCGGGTGTTAGAGAGCGGCAGGGTCAGTGCTTGTCTCTGCCTCAGACCTCGGGGCCCATGTGTTTCCTTACTCAAGCTCTGCAGCCACCGCAGCGGTGCTCAGCGATTCCGCATCTGCCTGCCACCTCGGGCTTTCTTCTCTTCCTGCTTCTTTGCCTTCTGGCCTCATCATTCAGCACCAGTCCCCAGCAGAGGAAATGGGAAACCAAGCCTGGTGGCTGCTTGTTAGCCACTCTGGGCTCCTTTGGGGGCTGGGAGCAGAGTGTGGTGTTGGATGGAGCCTGGCCTTTGGTATCAGACAGACTTGGGTTCAAATCCAGCAGGTGACGAGATGCCAGGTGGCAAGGCCAGGAGCTGCGGGTGCGCCAGTAAAGGAACGCCTCCAGAGGGTAACAGATGGACTTCTCACCCACCCTCTGGAGTCCTGCTACCAGTCAGCGCAGGCATTACCAGTGGGCTTCGAGTCGACTCTGCCTCATGGCCACCCCATGTGTGTTGAGTAGAACTGTGCTCCATAGGGTTTTCAGTGGCTGATTGTTAGAAAGGAGATCACCAGGCCTTTCTTTTGAGGCATCTCTGGGTGGACTCGAGCCCCCAACCTTTCCGTTAGCAGCTGAGTGCATGATGCATTTGCACCACCCAGGGACCAGCACAGGCACAGCTTAGATTAAAATGGTTGCTGAGTAGGGAGGTGGAAGGCGAGCCCAGATAACCTGAATGAGGTAGCGTCGATCCCTTTGTAAGATGGCACTCATAGCTTTCCTTTGTTGTTGCTTTGCTGTTGTTCTGCCTTGACTGGAAATTAAGAGACTTGTACTGTAGCAGAAAACAAGAAAGGAGCTAGCGCAGGGGGCTAGCCTTTCTCCGTGGGCACTTAGAGACCACCATTTCCTGTTCTTCCAGCAGGACTGTCAGCCTTCCCACAGGACACTGCAGACACACGTTGGGATGCTCTGTTGGAACGGGCCATGTGCCCCCCTGCCCGTGTGTGTATGGCCTTGAGGCTAAGCCCAGAGGTCAGAGGAGGGAGGAGGGAAGAGTGAGGAGATAGCAGAGTCCAGAGGCTGCAGGGACGAGTCGCGAGGAGAGGCAGGAGGGCGGGAGAGGAGCAGTAACACCCTTGCTCCCTGGAGTGTGGCCATCACCTGCCAGAGGAGGGCCCGGAAGGGGTCCTTCCCTGACTGTCGTGTGCCCTGAGGACTCCAGCCGTGGTGGGCAGCATAGCCCCTGATCCTGGCGGGTGTCTGACATGTTGGCATTGCCTTCCTCTGCCGCAGGGGGCCTCCCAGGAGCTCCAGCAGCGACCCCGACTTCGTGGTGGTGGATGGCGTGCCTGTCATGCTCCCGACCTATGACGAGGCCGTGAGCGGCGGGCTGAGTGCCTTAGGCCCTGGGTACCTGGCCTCCGTGGGCCAGGGCTGCCCCTTACCCGTGGACGACCAGAGCCCCCCAGCATACCCTGGCTCAGCAGACGTGGACACGGGCCCAGGGGAGTCAGAAACCTGCGACAGTGCCTCGGGCTCCTCCGAGCTGCTCCAGAGTCTCTATTCACCTCCCTCGGGCCAGGATGGGGCCCGGCCCACTTCCGACAGCCCCGACGCAATGGCGGGCACGGCGGGGGAGGTGGCATCCACCAGCCCAGGCATCGACATCGCGGATGGTGAGTGTGCGCCTGAGGCCTGAGCCGTCTTGCAGACACAGCGCGCAGCACGGTCCTATGCACCCAGCCTCCGACAGTGCACGGCCCCTCCCACCCTGCCAGCGCAGAGCCAAATCAATCTGCTTCCCTCACGCTCCGCTTAAATTGCTTCTTTCTCTCACTCCGTGTAGAGGCCATTGGCAGGACCAATTACTGTAAAGGATGATCATCATCTCACAAGTAATGAGCCCATTAGCTGAAATTTCAGGAGGCACGAAAGGGCACCGAGCCATCCAGAGTAGAAGGGCTGGCACTTTGTTTCTGTAGCATCTGTGTGATCCAGAACGTTTCTGTCCTGCGCGCCTTAATTAGTCGGGATTTGTGCACAGGGAGCACAGGGCCGGAAGAGCACACACAGGTGAGGAGGAAAGGCAAGATGCTGCACCAGGGCCCAGCCGTGGGCCCTGGCCGCCCTGTCCCCGGAGGATGTCTGTGTGCATAGAAGTTATTTTTACCAGATGGGAAGTAAAAGGCATATTACTCCCATCGTGGGGAAAGGCAGATTGTAGCTCACAGTAAAGTGGAAAATACACTGGAGTCATTAAAGCCCCGTTTCCTGGGTGAGGGACGCGCCAGCCCCACTTTACAAATGGGGGTGCTAATTCCAGAGGTCTCCTGCTTCTTCCCTGAACCCCTTTTCTGGAGCACTGCTTCTCCGTTCTTGAATTTTGTGACCTGTTGGTTTGTATGGCCATTAAGGCAGATGGTGAAAACCTAAGACTTTGTTTTTATGAACTGGGTAGATGACTCTGGTTTTCCAGTAAACAGATGTTGTATGGGGGAGATGGTTTATTTGATTATTAATAGATATGTGGAACTTAATGTTTTCTTCACGTCCTCATTAATTTCAGGAATTGTAGATATCTTGTGGCGCGAACAGTTTGCGCTCAACTACTGACCTAAAGGTGGGTGGTTCAAATCCGCCCAGCGGCACCATGGAAGAAAGGCCTGGTGACCTGCTTCCATGATTACAGCCAAGAAAACCCCATGCAGCAGTCTACGCTGACACATATGGGGTCGCTGTGGTCAGAATCCACTTGACAGCAGTGTGTTTGGTTTAGAGATGTTTTAGCAGGGCTCATAACCACAGACGATTAGCAGCAGTTTTCAGTCACCTAAGCCAGTGACCGCCTCTTCTTTTACAGAGATCCCTCTGATGGAAGAGGAGCCTTGACAGGCAAAATGCCGACGATTCTGCTGCCCCCTCGGGGGCGGGAACCCTGTACCTTGGAGTGAGGCGACAGGACAGAGCTGGGGGGACGGGGGACATTTTCTAACTTATCTCCATGGTGACGTGATTCACATGTACATCTCGGCCTCAGCCGTAAGGCAGACAGACGGCATTGGCAGCGCTTTCAGAGAGACTCGAGGACGTGCGCGACAGAAGGGGAAGAAAGGGCAGAGGGGAAACGCCCGCACGGCCCTGCATGAAGGTGTTGGTGTGTCTCCATGCTGCGGGACACGGGACAGTGCATCCACATCCCACTGATGATGCTGTGAGCACCACCTGCTTCCTTGAAAGCATGTCACGTTGTGTAAATTTGCTTCTAAATTCTGCTTTAAACTGTCTCCGGACCCCAAATTAGGACGGCTCCACCTCTGCGGAGGGTCTGTGTTGAGCTGCCGAAAGGACAGCCGGGCCCCCCTTGCCCTTGCAGGAAGGCACAGGTTCCCCAAGGGAAAGTTCTCGTGTGACTTTTTGGACAGTCTTCCTGGGTCTGAACAACTCTACTCAAAGCAAGACTAGAGCGGGATGTGGCGGTTCCAGTGAAAATGGAAAGACTCAGGCTGACTCTGCTTTCTGGAACTTTCTTCAAAAAGTAGAGTCGATGTACTCCGTGCTGTCCTTGGTGACGTATCATCAGTATTTTTATTCATGGTCTGTTACCTGGGTCCATGGCATTGGATAAACCCTGTTACTTTTCAAACTGTCAGAATGTGTGCAAATACATTATCTTATGGTGGAGAAGGTAACCAAGGTGATGTTTTGTTTCAGCATCTCACAAAGAGTCACTTAACAGTTTATCTCAGTTATGAGTCCCTCTGCGGGTAACTGTTAATATTGTTGCCCCTCCCCAAACTTAGCCACACCTTTTATTTTCCAAAACAGAAATAATTTCTGCAAACACATTCTGCTTCCAGGTGAAGTGGGGAGTTGGATTTCTTTTTCCCCCTCCTTTCATTTTGTCTGGCAGGAAGCTGGCCTCGCAGCCCACAGGCAGCCTGCCTTCCTGCTCCAGGGGCCTTTGTCTGCCTTACCCACCTGCCAGTCCTACCTTCCTCTTCGGCTGGCCTCGTGGTGCCCGGTGGAGTCCCTGGGAGGTGCAAATGGTTAAGCACTTAGCTACTCATGGAAAAGTTGGAGGTTTGAATCCACCTAAAGGTGCCTTGGAAGAAAGGCCTGGTGATTTACTTGTGAAAAATCAGCCATTGAAAACCCTGTGCAGTGTACTTCTACTCCGACACACATGGGGTCACCATGAGTCAGAATCAATTCTATGGCAACTGGTCTTTTTTTGGCTTGTGGTGCCCAATGGAGGTTGTTTCTAAGAAAATGATTGATAAAAAAATACAGTAAGTCCCCAGGTTACGAAGAGCGTCTGACTTACAGACGACTTGTACTTGCCCTTTAAAGTTACGTAAATTTGCCGTCACTTTGAAACGATGGAACCAACCCCTACGCAAAACAAATTCTTCATCACAATTAACTTTCGCTTGCTGCGCGTTCAGTTTTTAAATCATTGAAAAGGTTTCCAGCCTTTTCTTACACTAAACCAAACCCACAGCTGTTGAACCGATACCAACTCACAGTGACCCTATAGGACAGAGTAGAACTGCTCCACAGAGCTTCCGAGGCTGTAAATCTTTATGGAAGCAGACCGCCACCTCTTTCTCCTGCAGAGTGGCTGGTGCGTTCAAACCGCCGACCTTTCAATTGGCAACTGAACACTTTAATCGCTGCGCCACCAGCAACCCTGTAGGGCAGAATAGAACTGCTCCATAGGGTTCCCAAGGAGCGGCTGGTGGATTTGAACTGCCGACCTTTAGGTTAGCAGCTGAACGCTTAACCACTGTACCACCAGGGCACTCTTCCCCTAAAGTAAGACTAAATAAGAACCATATGCACTTGTTGCGACTTACGTACAAATTCAACCTAAAGACACTTTAGGGACAAATCTTGTTCGTAACCCAGAGACTGCCTGTATCCACAGTCCTGAAGCGTCTCTTCAAATACATGTTGATCTGTGAAGTTGCTTCCTTTCATCCTCTGGGTTTTAGACAAATAAAAATAAAACTCCAATTCATAAAACTACTATGCTGATAGAGCTGTGAGAGCTGGAAGCTTGATCAAGTCCTGTTTTATTTCTTGACGCAGACTGATTAAAAATTGAAAAGAAAACGACAGCTGAGAGCGTGGCTTTGCTAGCGGAGTGCGGGAGTGAGCGAGTGAGCCTGGACGATGGAAATGAAGTGCCGGATTATGAGCCTGAGGTGGAGCAAGCGGTCGTGTGGACGTGCTAAGCACAGTGCCTGGCACCACCGCCCTTGGGCAGTGATACCAGCCACGTGGGTAACAGGGTTTAGTGATTCTGACTCCGTTTATTGAGAGCCCCACCCTGCCGCCGGCACGCCTTTGCAACACAAGCCTTATCAGAAGGGCTTGGTTTTCACAAGCGTTTATGGCATGTGTCATGTGGCACGCTCAGAGGGGTGATGGGAACCCAAGGTCCACGGCGGGCCAGCCTCCACCAGCCAGCCTTCCCAGGCCCCTGACCTGCCAGGTCTCAGCGCCGCTCCACTCCACACCTGTTCTCCCTCACGTGGCCCTAAATGTAGGCTGTGTCTCAGATGTTCTTGTTAGTGGCCGTTGAGTCACTCCGACTCATGGCGACCTCATGGACAACAACGGACCTTTGTCCGATCCTGCGCCATCCTCACAGTGGAAGGCATGTTTGAGTCTAGTGTTGGTGGCTGCTGTGTCAATCCGTCTCACCAGGGTCTCCCTCGCCCTCACTGGCCCTCTGCTTCACCAAACATGATGTCCTTTTCCAACACTGATCCCTCCTGATGACGAGAGTCCAAAGCAAGTGTTTCAGACAGTATTCTGTTGTGATCCGTCAGGTTTTCATTGGCTAATTTATGGGAGTAGACTGCCAGGCCTTTCTTCCTAGTCTGCCGTAGTCTGGAAGCTCTGCCAAGACCTGTCCACTATGGATGACCCTGCTGGTATTTGAAATAGTGGTGGCATAGCTTCCAGCATCACAGCAACACTCACAGCACCACAGTAGGACAAGCTGACAGACGGGTGGTGGGTGTCTCAAACACCACCAGGTAAGTACCTTATTTCCCCCTGGGCTGGTCCGCAGAGGCGTGTGGGGATGTCTCTGGGGCCGACCTCTCCTCCTTCCAGAAATGTTCTCCCTACCAAAGCAGACAGCAGGCAGGGGCAGCCCCCTCGCCTGCCAGCCCAGGGTACACGGGATACCTCTCTGGCCCTGACATCTGTGGAGACAGACACCACACGTGTCAGGGTATTAGTGTCAGCGTCGCTGTAAGAAGAGAGGCGGGCGGGAGGGGACAACGCAGCAACCAGCGGCTGTGGAGTCGACTCCGACTCATGGCGAACCCGTGGGTCAGAGTAGAGCCGTGCTTCACAGGGTTTTCAACAGCTGAGTTTTCGAAAGTACATTTCCAGGCCTTTCTCCTGAGATGACTCGGGGTGGACTCGAACCTTCAACCTTTCAGTCAGCAGCCGAGTGTCTTAACTGTTGCGCCACCAAGGGACTCTGGAGGGAAGAAAATGCCTTCTTACTTGCAGTATTGGATGTCTCACCAGAGCTCCTGAGTCCTCCCCTCTGTCCCTATAGTCTGGAGACAAATCGGAGCCCACCCACATGTATTGTTTAAGGTCATCTTTTATTATGATTACATATTTCCCTGAGTGGTGCCAACAGTTAACATGCTCAGCTGCTAACTAAAAGGTTGGAGGTTCGAGTCCACCCAGAGGCGCCTCAGAAGAAAGACCTGGAAATCTCCTTCTAAAAAATCAGCCATTGAAAACTCTGTGGGCACAGTTCTACTCTGACACCCATGGGGTTGCCATGAGTCGAAGTCAACTTGATGACAACTGTTCCTTGAGCTCACGTGGCATTCATGATACTCCCAGCATCTCATGATTCTGAAGTTCTTTTTTTCTGAAGGTCCTGCGAGGCGCTCTGGGTATGAGTGACTCGGTCACTCTCACATTACCTCAGAAATTAATAGGTAGAGAAACAAATTGGCAGCAGTGTAAATGGATGCCATAGAGGTATGGGTTGTGAGGGAGAACCGTCCCCAATCAGAGTGCTTTATATTTTGGGAAAAGGGTATACTTTCAGGAGCATGTTCAGAAACATGCAGCCGAGGACCCAAAGGCTGTCCTGCGGGGTGAGGCTGAGGTATTTGTTTCAGAGCTGCAGCAGAACCGCAGATTTCTGGCCGACTTGCTCCCCCATCCTAAGCACAGCAGAAGTCACCGGGCGTCTTCACACTTTACGACCATGTAGCGTTTTTTAATTGTGAGGTTGTGATTGCTGGTGTGGCAACTGTCAAACCTTTCCCACCTAATTACAGCAGCCCCAGCAGCTGGCACACAGACAGACTGCCTCTTATTCCTGCAGAAATGCTTTGCCTCTGGCCTCACAGCAGACCTGGGACAATCAGAATTCAAATGACAAGGCTCGTGGGCCACAGCCCGCCAGGTCCAGCTGCTTCTCCCACTCCTTTGCTGCCTCCCTCCATGCCCAGAAGGGAAAGGCAGCTCCCCCGTCCGGTAGCTCTGCCCCCTGTGGGTATTTCCTGCACCAGCAGCACGGGTGTCATGGAACCGCAGGGGCTCTGGAACAGGCAGACCGCCTGGCTTCTGCCACTAACTGGCCAGGCAACCTGGACAAATTCTGAGCCTCCCTGGGCCTCAGCTGCATCGTGTAAAAATGAGAGCTGGTTTACCTCTTACCTGGAGTCCCTGGGTGGTGATACGGTTGATGCGCTTGGCTGCTAACCAAAAGGTTGGTGGTGCGAATCCACCCAGAGGTGCCTCAGAAGAAAGCCCTGGCGATCTACCTCCAAAAAATCAGCCATTGAACACTCCGTGGAACACAATTCTACCCTGACACATGTGGGGTCGCCATGAGTTGGAATGGACTCAACAAGGGGTTGGCCTCTACCCACCTCCCTGGGCTGTGGTGAGGAGGGTGGCCAATGTTAGTGAAGCACCCAGTGCACCGCAGGTAATTGATAAACGGTAACTGCTGGCCCTTTGTGGCCTAGTGTGAAGGCGGGTGTCCCGATGGGGGTCATTAACTCAGCCATGGTTGCGCAGGCACCTGCAGCTTAAGCCTTAACCTGAGTCGATTCCTACCGCCCTGCAGGCTGTTTACAGGTGAAGCCTGTTTGGGGCCGCCTGAAGCAGGTGGGCTGAAACGTGCTGTGCCCGTTCCCCTCAGACCCTCTTCCCGGAAGCCTGTCCCCGCCTTCTATAGCCTATGCTTTCCCTGCGGAGGGGTTTTCAGTCCTTGGCCCGTTGGGCACTGGCCTCCTTGCCAGTACAGTCCTTTTTTCTGAAGCTACAGGAACTTCTCTGCTCAGGGAGGCCCAGGCAATGCCCTTCTGAATGATCTCCAGAGTCTCCCCAAGGACTCGAATCACCTCCACAGACAACCCCAAAGATGAGTACTAACCTGCTTCCCTAATTTTATT